GTTTGACCAACTGAAGAAAAGCCATTTATGTTGCTCAATTAAAAAAAGTGTTGTTATGACGAAGAGATCTTAAACATAGTTTTCATGATCATAATTAGAATAAAGACAAGGGTTAACCCTTACAAATCCCACAAAATAATGTAAAATTATTGCAGCCTCATAAACAAATCATCGTTGAAGAAGTTATTAATTTTGCCAAATGACAGACCATAATATATGTTGCAAGTATAGAAAATTTTGCGCATTCAATTGAAAAAAGAGAGTAGTTTGATCTAATTTGCAGAATTTAGCGACCAGAAATGTGTAATGTTTCATTTCAGAAGCAAGACTCACTACACGAGCCGCCTCCTCAAGAGCCGCACGCCGTGCCGCCATTGCACCAGGAGAAGCGGCTCGACCGAATCGAGATGCAATAGCAGCTGAACCATTGCAATTTACATTAGCCCCGGATCGAACACGAGGGAAGTCATCCCGCCGAGACCGCCGATGAGATGGTCCAGCCTCAGAGGAAAGAGAATGCTGGGGCTGAGGGAAGCGTGTTGTCGTAACCTGCACTCTAAAGCTTGCTCTAAGCCAATATTTGTCCTAAAATAAATAGATTTAATGATAAATTCACTAATGATATTATAAAGAAAAACAATGAAACTTTAAAAAACATCTTGTACACAAAATTCGAAAGACGATGGAGACACAGGTTAGAGCTTGCCGGCATTATAGACCACCATTATCGACGTTAAAAATGTTACAAGACCTGCCAAAGAAAGATTGCCTTAACTTGGAAGCACAGAATAACGAATCAAAACATTCACACAGCAATTTCGAATAAGATAAGTGTCTGATGTAACTTTATTTTTCTCATTTTCACCACTCGCCAAAACAATGCGGTAAGTTATTTTGGTGAGGTAAAGTGTAGGGATAAATTAAAATAAATTTTGGTATGCAGTTACAGTAATTGATAGTTAGAGGATCTGCTTATGCTATATAATAAAACGCTCATACATGATTGAAAAGTTTCAACCAAACCGTGAGA